TCACTTCTCTTCTTTAACTGTTCGGTTTCGTCCAGATTCTTTGTCGGTATACAATTCTTGTATATTTAAATACCTACGTTTTCTCTAGTTCTCTAAAAGCATATCAAAATACAACACATATATTAAAAATACCTACATAATATTATACATGTATTATACATATATAATTTCAGTTATATTTCATATTCAAAAGAAAATTTTAAAAACTAAGTAACCGCTCTGTTGTACAGTTACGGCGCACTTGATGTCGAGTATACCTTATACCATTGAGTAAATCGGTACCTATGGCTAAATTTGATTTAATTGATAGATCATCAAAACATTTTCATAAAAACAAAAATGATTCTGAGCTAAGACTAGTATTATAGCTAACGATATATTTTTATTTCAGTATTAAAGTAATTTATTTTACTATTTATTTGTATAATTTATTATTATTAGTATAAAACGTAATTATTCTTTTAAATATCTAATTTCGTCTAAATTGAACATAAAATACCTATACAAGATTTTTAGTTACACTATAAGCTACTTATGAGCAACCTAGTATTACATTTTCAATCTTTTCGACACAATGAAAAATTTGTACTAACATTTATAGCAAAAAATATTTTAAAAAAAATGTACAATAATCCGTAAATAGCTTAAAAAGAGTCAAAATATTTAGAAAATTCTACTAGTTATATGTGAAAAAATTTTTAATATCTACGATTATTCGTTTTTGGGTTACACCAAAACAACAAATTCGATTTTATACGATACTGTTTTTGCATAAAAATTTCCTTTATCCTTTAGTTTTTTTTTGTTTTTCCCAGTTATTTTGACAAGTAGGTATACAATAATAATTATTTACATTTTACTCATTGACTTTATCCAATTTTCTACCAGAAACTATCCCCAAATTAAAGAAATCTGTGCATTTTTACTACCTTTACTGTATTACTAAATTTTTACTAAGGTGATGACGGATTGGATAGATTAAAAATATTTTAAAAAAATACACTTTATTGTAAAATCATCGTCGCTCCACTCATATTTTAAAATCTTATATCCTCATTTTTCTAAAACATAGAAAATAGTTGAATAAATACTGGAATGGTGATTGAAGATTACAAATATTTACTGTATTTTGTTTTGTTTTTTCATGTCAATCGTTATTTTTAAACAAATTAACAATAACAATACATTTTAAATTCTTAAAAACTTGTTTTATTTTAAACGAAACCATGTTTTCAATGCAATATAAAAATATGCTGTTATTTATTGTACATTAAATTTAAAAAATAATATTATTTCTAAAAAGTCAGTCGATTTTGATGTATTGTTTCATCATTTAATCTAACCAAACGAACAAAAGTTTTAAAAAACGGGTAAATAGTTTAAAAAGAATATAGTATAATATGAAAAAACATTTTGAAATGTTAAAAAGTGATATCGAACTGTAAAAAGAGTCGTTTACAATGTCGGATAAATAATCTTATCTAAAACCAATTATTACTACCATAATTTTTCAATAAAAATACAAATAAATAAACATTATTAATTATATAATAATAAACATAAATTAACAATAAAAAAACAACATAGCACACTCATAAAACTGATTTAAAACAAAATATTTGATGTTTAAGTCAAACAACAAAAATAATTCACTAATTATTTCAATAATATTAAAGTTATTTTAATTTTAACTAAAATAATATATTTTGAATATTATACTAATAAAATTTTTATTAATTCATTTTTATCTAAATAAAAATGTAACTTAATATATTAAGTGACGTTTGAAACTAAAAAAAAAATTAGACAATATTCAATTAAAAATGTAATAAATTAACAAAATTAAAATCAAATTTAATTTGTAAAATTAAAATAATGATTATTGTTTTACAAGAAAACGAATACAGCCTTTTCATCGTTTTAATTTGTTGGGTCTTCGTGGTCCACCATGAATTTGAGATTACAAAAACAACACACTACAATATTTTTATAATTCAAAAATGTAAGATTAGTCGATTTTGCATTGTATATTATTATCTAATTTTATATTATAAAGTGATGTATACTGTAAGCCTAATACAATAAAAAATACAATAATATAAAGTCAACAAAAAAAAAAAAAGAAAAAATAAAAGAAAAAGATTGTTTGTTACAAAAGTAATTGACTTGAAAATACGAAAAAAGGTTTCACCTAAAATAACAAATTTCCTATCAACAATAAAATACGCATAGTATTCACAATAAATAATCGTTTATAAAAATATATCTAATAAAAAAACATATAAAAAAAAATCTATTGTTTATTTTTCGTTGCCTACAATAAATGTATTATTGTACCGGTAAGGAACGAAAATAATTATTCCATCTATATAAACTGTAAGTGATGCTACTTTTTTTATATAAATTGAAAGCACCATGTGGTGGTTATAGTAATATAATTTTGTCATGTTTTGACGTACTTAAAATAATTATTAAAAATATTAATTATAAACCTAATATATTTACATAAGTTATAAATGAAAAAGTTATAAATGTAATCCGTATAAAATTCAATAAATATTAAACAGATCTCTCCGAGGTTATGAATAAGGAACATGACATATCGTGTTAATATTGATGTTCTTTAGTACCATCTACCTGTAAAACAAAATATAAATATAGTATGCTATTTTCAATTTTAAGTTGAAAAATGAGTCATTACTAATGATGGTTAAATATTTTAGATGAAAATAATTGATGCTATATAAGTACATAACTATTATTATGGCAAAATCTTACTACAGAAAAACCATGGAAAGCAGAAATCAATGTGACGCTATACTTTTAAAAATAGACATTTCAAAAAATGGGTCATAAATAATGAACATGGAAATAGTTAGACCTCACAATAATTAGTATAATAATTAATAAACATTGAAATAGTTGGACCTTGCGAAAAATGGATTAAAAGTCAGTGGTTTAATCATCCAGGAATCTTTCTCTTACGAAAGACTTCTATAGACTACCTATAAGTCACACTGTTTAACTAGGTACATAACTTTTAACAAGTAACATGACGCATGTATATATCTGCATTTATAACACGTTAAAGTAGAGTCGATTTATTTTCATCAGTTTTATATTTATCTATAGGTAGGTAAGTAATATAATAATATAACAATCCAACTTAAATTTAACACGATGTGTTCAATAGTTGATGTTCGTCTAGTATATATATATTATAATATACTAATCTGCGTAACATTTTATGGTTGAATTTACAATATGATGCCTACATTTTTTTGCATAGGTACTTTAATCAAAGTTAGGATTGATTAGTTGTTAATTGTACTTAGTCTTATTATCGTATTATTTACGCGTGTTTAGAAGTTTGGATCAATTTATAAATTATCAGTAGGTAGATATATAAGGTGATAATATTATTTATCGAAGCGATGGAATTTTGCTGTGTAGGCAGTTACAAATCTAATTTTAAATAAATATTTTAAGATTGGTAATAAATAATAATCATATATTTACAATTGTTTAGATGAAGAAATACTTAAATATTTGCTGGAAATAATTTACAAGTTAAGTAAATTATAATTATTGGAATACTATTATTGATATGTAAAATCTACTTAAAACAATTAATTTAATAGGTGGGTAGCATTTTTATTGTAAGTACTACTCAACTATATGTAGCATACTTAACAAGTATCTAATTTTATAAGGGAGACTATTTTTCCACAGCTAAATTCTACTAACAATTAAAAATGTTGAAAGGTTTGATTCAAGCATCAGAAAAAAATTGAAAACCAATGATTTAAATTTGTATGTACTGTATTAATATATTGGTAGGTGGTATACCAAGTAAAAAACTGAAAACTTAATAAAAAATACGATTCAAATAAAATGGGTACAACTTTGGTTTGAAAACTTTTCACCTTTGTTAACACTATAATTAATTTCTACATTGGTTTAATTTATACTCTACAACTATTATATAATGCATTTAAAATAAATGCAATTATATTTTATTGATAAAATTGTTTGTTATTAATATTTTTTTTTATATGCAATCTCTTTTTTTTTTGTTATGTACACACATCATATCGTTACATTTGTGGGCAATGAAACATGGTTCTTTAACAATATTCAATATCTTCCGAAAAATACATTTTGGTGGAAACAAGAATCGAACCTTTTACGTTTTTGATTGAACCAGGCTACTGTTGGGTATCCAGTAACCGATTTTATGGCGGAAAAGAGCCATGACCCTATTAAATTCGTTTTATTCGTCGAATAAATATATTATACCTACATTCAATCGAGATTAGGAAATTTACGTGGCCATCGACTTTCCGTATTCATATTATAATATTATATTTGGATAATATTAAGGTTGTTAAAATGTGTTGTGTGAGTCCAGCCAAAATAATGTTGATCTAATTCAATGAAACATAGATTTTCCGAAGTTATTGAACTTTAAATCAACCGACAACCTGTACGACCTATTCACCGTTATTTGAGTACAATGATGTTAGATAACCTGTTACATATCATATCATATTATATATTAATATATTATTAAGTTTATGAAACTATTACCATACAGTGAAATTCATATTAAATTATAATATGATAATGTTGGTTCTCGAGTCAAAAACAGATTCATATTATGTAGGTTTTTATTGATTATGATTTACAGTTTATACTTTAAGCAACATTATTATTTTAGATACAACTTATTCATATAAATTGTTGTGATTTGATATTTTTCGTTGTACCTAATATTATAATACGAAAAATAATATTTCTCGATGTATTAAATCGTTTTTATTTTTAGATCCCATTTCAATAATTCGGACCAAGTTTTAACATATTTATGAGATTTTATTATTGATTCCCGGTTTTAAACTTTATAGACTTAAATTCAACAATAGTTTATACATTCAAAATTATGATGGCCCTCCTCCATAAAATTAATTTAAATACATGATACCTAATGCTCACTTTAGTCAAACAGTTGTTTCGGTCTTGTCAGTGATGGGTGTCAGTTGGCTCAGTTCTTCCTCGTTAACCGGCAGTTGACGGTCTTCCTCAAAGTTTATACTCCCCGCCTTGTACCAGACAATTATATCAACAAAAAAGGCGCACATCATCAGTATCCCAGTAACACCTGTTGTGAACAAAATAAGAACAGTTAATTGGAAACTAATTTGTGTTTAAATTGTCACATAACTAGATCTTTTGCATATCATAAACAAACGGCGCCCACTATAATAACAAATTATTAGAAATCCAAGCACCGTCCAATTTAAGTTTTTATAGTCTCCAGTTATATATTTTGGATTAAAAATTGATTGATGCTTAGTTATAAAATGTATTAGTATTATGACGTATACCTACCATCGTCAAGTAAAATATCATAGGCTGAGATGTTGCTTTTTTTTTTTTTGAGTGTTTAAAAATGTAGCTTTACAAGTTGAATTTGTGCCACAGGTATTTAAATGTAATTTGTATTTTACTCTCTATCACAGCAATTCTCAACCTTTGTGTAGTAGCGACCCAAGATATTTTCCAAATTTTTTATGTGACATTTTTATAAATAATGTTCAATGAAACGATTAAATTTCATAAGCATTTTACTGATTACCAATTATCAATATTGTGAATGTCTTATAATGGTAGTCTATAATATTTTATACATTTTGGTAATTTTTAGAACAGAGATTTTTTGAATTAATAGGAATTTATCAGCTGACCAATGAAGACAGTTTTAATTTTAAGATACTAAACAACAGCCAACCATAATTTATACACCTAATACAACGTAAATTAATTTTCAATTTATATCAAATTTAAGTACAATATGATTATTTTTTGGATTATTCGAAATGTATTTTATTTATTTTAAAAACACACGGAATCTTATGATATTTAAAAGTGCCAGATTCTAAAATTGTTTTATGTTTTAAATATAAAATAAATATATTTAAATATTTTTGTATAATATAGTAAATTATTTTAATAAAGCATTTATCTTTTAATTTTTAGATCGTTTTGTAAAACCTATTAGAGTATCAAAATCTCACACCTAATCATAACATTTGTTCAATAGGTAGGTAGGTACGCTATAGAATTACGTATAGGTATACATAAACGTATAATATAACAATATTGACTCCTAAAGTGTATAATAATAATATTGTGTTTGGCAATCTAATCTTCCCAGATCGACCGCCGCCGGATATTACCATGGTAGAAGATACGGAACGAGTCCGAGTTGTACAGAGAGCACGCTCCTTGTTTTCCGCACGTCATTTCCCATATGAGACAAGCAGAGTCGACGACCGCTCCGTACAATATGGGGCAAGGAACGTTACCTGTATGACAATAAAACAATAATAATGTTACAACATTGTATGTGAAAAAGTTTTCAAAATAATATTAATACTTAATAATTAATGTAATATCAATGATCGTTTTAATATTATAATATGGATAATAGTCAGTCTTGACTCTTGAGCATGTAGTACGCGTATGTGATATAATATACATATTATATTATATTATATTTATAATATTATATACCTATAGCCTATACGGCTATGCATTTATGTATGTATGAATGTATGGATGCAAATCTGAATTGGTTCCGAAACGTCAATGTTGGTTATCGAATTATTTTATAGGGTATGAAGAATATTTTTTATTTTCTATATTGCAAGACCATTTTCATACGGTTGTTTGTTTTTATAACATTGTTTGTAAGTATGTAATTTAAATACTAAAACACAAGTAGGTAATGATTAAATAAGATTTAAACAGTAATTGGATTATTCTTTACGAGTTTTTTTTTTCACTAGACGATTATAATATAATAGTATAATACCACTCAAAGCTTTCTTTTACAACTATTGTTTATAGTTTTTACCTGTTTAATATTACATGTCCATGTTTTTAGTGATTATATTAAAATATGTTTCTATCCAGGGGTAAAATGTAAATTAAATATTTTTAAACAAGATTTATAATTTTTTTTGTACAACTCCAGCATTTAATATTGCTTACCACAAATTATTTTATAACCATATTTAAAACCTTCAAATATTAGGTACTAATTTTTTGTTTTCGAGTATTCCTTTTTCCACTTTCTATAAATTGTATTTTAAAAATATTTATATTTAAGTAAGGACTCCCTAATTCAGTTTTTTTTTAATTTCTTGTTCATAAAATTACGTTTACACACAGATTTCAGTAGCAACGTTGTTTCCCTACAAGAATTTACTAAATTAAATAACATAATATTTGTACTATTAAGTATATACAGCTGTGTCTAACTAAATATCTAACTTGACAGTCTTTATTAATTTTTACATTATTTCTAGGACCACTTATCGTACAGTCGTACGTTTCCGCCCGGTAAGGTGCATTGCACCCATTGCACCTCCTAAATTCGGCCCTGGGTGCCAACCATATCTACCCTAAATATATTCTCTGCTAAACTATTACAAATGCTATAAGTTTTTACTTTGGGCAATTTGCAATGTAGATGTTCTCCCTAAGCTGACTGAATATTACAACAGGTAGGCATGTCATTAGAAAGACACAGACCACGGTTGTGGCCGCTATGACAGGGGGTTGGACTCACCGAATAGGCCTATGGCAAACTGTATGAGCCCGAGAGCCATGGCCTTGTCCTGAGGATGAACGCATCGAAGTATGAGCAACATGCTGCCCACCTCCGAAGTGGAATGGATGAACACAAACAAGGAGAACAGAGCTATGTACCAAAAGCCCGAATCGTCGCAATCGTCTTTGCACGGGCCCGGATATGCCTCCGTGGCGTTGGTGTTCATGCACTGGCAGTCCGTGAACTGCAAAATAATGTAGAAGATAACGATTTGTCTTAATTTGTAATTAGAGTGCACTGAACTATGCTATAGGTGTTAGAAGTTATAATGTTATGCGACTGTAAGATTAAATGGTTTGTACGTAGTGGTCAATCTGATCGCATAATGCAATCAGTTTCATAATTTATTTATTTATGGAATAATATTATAGTAAGTACTGCTGGATAAGTAAATAAAAATGTTGTGTAATCTCAAATCTTAACTTATTTTAATTAAAAAATGACATTATTATTTTTTGTATTTATTGCAATACATATTATACTAATATACTAGTATTACCTATAGGTATATAATAGCCCCCGAATTTAAATTGTATTTATTTATGAATTAATTCGAAGGAAGTATGAGAAGAAATGTCTTAAGGCAACTATTACTACTGATAACTTAATAATTGCATATAAATAATTTAACTTGAAATAATAATAACGAGTATATTTTTTTAACTGTACAAAAACTAATACAAATCGTTGAGTTAAAATTGATTGACAAAAAATGATTACCGCGTTGGGTAAATTATGTTTTAATCATTGAATCTTTACTATTGTTTTCAGCTCGTTAATGTCCAGTCTCGTACAGACAATAATAATGTACATTAAATTATTATAGTCGTGTTATTGGGGTGGGGGAAACCACTGAGAGAGGGTGGTAAACATGATATAAAAAATAAATAATAATTGATCGTATTGACAAACCGTGTGACATCGTATGTGCAGACAAACACAAGTCGACTACACCGTGATTGCGATGTAACCTATATAATACCGCAGTAGATAAACAAACAATATAATATTAGGTACCTTGTAGCCCGAGATGTACTCTTTTCCGGAAGTCCGATTCCGGCATCCAGCGTGGCACGCCGAGAAGTACGTTATCCCGTCTACTCCACAAATCGGACTGAACAACTCCTCGTCGCACACGCATTGGTCTGAGCAGGGAGACTCGAACTTGGGCTGATTCCTGCGCAAGATAATGACAAAATGGACATTTATTAGAATGCATTTCCACAGTACTGACGTGAAAACTGTAAAGGGATTATTTCAATGAAAAACGTTTACATACAGATTGCAGCGGCAGCAAGGTCCCCCCACAAGAATTTACTAAATTAAATAACCTATTACACCTAATGTATACTATATCTCACTAAACATCTAACTTGATAATCGTTTTTTTTATTTGCACCATATCCAGGACCACCCTCCAAACGTTTTTAGCTCGGTACCCAATTACACCCATATGGCACCTCCTAAATTCTGCTCTGGGTGCCAACAACTAGAGGTAACGGACTTTGCCACTATCACTATACCCAAAATCATTCCCCTGTTGAACTATTACAAAGTATGTAATACGTTTGTACAATGAGTACTTAGCATTGTAGATGTTCTAAATATTAAAATAGGTAGAGGTATGCTATTAGAAGTACATGACTCATCGTGGCGACTAAGAACGACATCTCCTCGTCGCACACACAACGACCCTAGAACATATTATACTGAAACTTGGGCTGATCACTTAATTTGGTTGTCTTCCACGAAACTGATGTAATGAGAGAGCCGTTCAAACCGTACGATGTCATGCAAAGTGATTTTTGGGTGAAACACGAAAATACATTGTTTAGCAAAAAATATCATGACAGATTACACGCATTAAATGCTTAGATAAAACTCGGTCAATTCGAGGATTGTCGTTGTAGATTACGTAGGTTATAAGCCATTATAAAAAAAAAAACGATTCCAGGTGGAGCTCATAGGAATTGATACTCTTAGCCGCTTTACTTAGATTTATTCATCATTTATACAACTATACAATATTATTATAATGGTCCGTAGTTGTTCGTACTGCGAGAGAATAGAATAATTTTACCTATCCGCTCGTATATACTCGATTTTCCACACTGGCTTCACTCAGAATCTAAGACGTTATAAAAGAGTTTCGACAAAAAATAAAAAATAACCGAAATCTACAACACATTATATTACCACGGATTGTGTGTGTATTTTAAGGTACCCGAAAATAAAACCGTACAAGAGTCAATGACTTTCCAAATAATGATATACGTTACAGCTGTTGCGTTGCATAATGTACTCACAGTTCGTCGTATCGCAATCCTGTGATGTTCGTGGTCGGACATCCGAAAAACATTAAAATGCACATACCTGAAATCGTAAAAATAATTCCAGTCAATGTCTAAGTGTCTAACGTACCTAACAAACATTAACTCGTCTTACCGATGGCGTATGCCAGGGCTGTAAACGCAATCCACGCAGCCACTGCTCTAGCATTGGGATTTTTCTTCAATATGAATATTCCCGATATTATGATTCCAATGCCCATGACCATAATTCCGTAAATACCTAAGATGAAAAAAAAAAAAAAATGTTCAGTTTTTATAAGTTTATGATTTTGTTCCTCCGTTGTGTCTATACAATATACCTATAATAAAATATTACAAGAGCTTGAAAATTAAAAACACTGGTATAAGAACCTTAACGGAACCTAAGCCGATACCGATATTTATCTGTTTTTCCAGTTCTATAACCTGTTCTATATACTTGGTTCATATAATTTAGTTGTAAATGTATATACATGGATTTATAATTTTCTATTTATATATAATCTAAAAAATTTCCTACAAACCATAAAATAATAAGACTTTATTTGAAGCACAAAAATACATACATAACAATAATTTTTTTACAAATACTAAATACAACAATCCTATGATAATAATATAATCTAGTGATTTTTCTACTACTTTCATAAACAAAAGTAATTATTTTAGGTATATAGTCACTCTTTATAAAAATCTAAATTGTATACAAATAATTTAAAATTTGGTGGAACAGAGTGGCCGAGCGGACTAAGCCGTCAATTGAGACGCACACCGTCGGGGGTTCGAAACCCGTGGCACTTCTCTTTGGGCAGTCCCGGTGTCTGGAGAAAGAGGCCGTCATCAACCACCCGGGCATGGTAGATACCTACGGGTGCCCACTAGAAAATTCTGACAAACTAACAAAACACATGTGTTTAAACCTACAGTATCTGCCCCCACAGTTAAAAACCACCCAATGGCAAAATTTGTCACGGGTTATTTAATATAAAAAAAAAATTTTAAATTATATACCTAAATTAATATAAAATTGTTCACATATAATATGTACCTATAATCTATATAATGTAATATTATATGCTCCTACAATAGTTGAACATGGTGGTCCAAAAGTGAAGTCATTATTCACTATGGTATTTATATTACGTTTTTAGCTTGTAATTCTGTATGTTTACTTGTTAAAAAAGCTCATTCATGTAAAATAATTTATAATAATTGAATACATTTCGCTCACAAAATATGAACTTTGTAATGTAAATTACAGTTTTATATCCAGTAAAAATGTATTAAGCCATTGATATTGTTGTTTTTAACTTCCCTAGATACTAGGTGAATTTATTAAAGCGCGTCCAGACGGAGCAGCTTTTGCACGTGTATGACATCACAAATTCATTTTTGGGCCGTGAAATTTCCGATCGGCCTAGTAAGCACATCAAAGGAAATCCGCCCGGCTATGTCAGGTGGGCGTGGATGTATTTTCGCCAAGACCACGAGGCATTACTACTTATTTTCATACATTTTTCAATATTTAAATAATTTTTTAAGTCATTTTAATTGAAAATAAATGTCGCATCGTCTGAACATGTATTTTCCGAGCGGCTAGTGCCGATGATGGCCGCACGCTAAATCGCCGCTAGTTCTGGACGCACCTTTATGAATAATCCGCCAAAACATCATTACACAATTTAAAACAGATTGTACTAAAGATATAACAATACAATAAATAACATTATAATCCTTTTCATATAAATATCAAAATAATATTTTTGTTTTTTAATTACATTGTTGAAGATAATATAGAAAAACTTTTGTAAAGAAATGGGCAAATTTTTTAGATGAGAATTCCACTTCAATTTATTATCCAATAAGATTCCAATATATTTAACTACTTCAACTTTTTCCAACAGATTGTAATTGCAATTATTATTAAGAGTTTGAAGAATAAAGTTACAATGAAAGGAATGTAAGGTAACACAGAAAGGTTAATACGTATTATGAGTAGTTATCAAAAATGTAATAAATAAATTATTATTAACTTGTCCGAGTCATTAACCCATCGTAATGATTATTTCCTTACAATTAACTTAGAATTTTGGACAATAACGTCTAATTTTTTTAAATTTGTATTTAATGTATTTGAATAAATAGTTAACTCACTTGTAAGACAAATATTATTTTATCATAATATAATTTTATATTTGAAGTTTATACTTACTCAAATTTTTTATTACCTTTGGATAAAAAATATACTTCTAAATACCGGTATTTACCGGAACCGGTACCGAAACCAGTACTGAATTTATTTTTACAACAGCCATATTATTAGAACCGAATACTCATAAAGGTTCCAAGCCCTGATATATATTTTCGTTAAACTGTAGGTACTTTCCTTTTGGTTAAATAAGATTGTTTTGAACGAAAATTCAAGTTCTGCAGGTTTAGGTTAAGTGTGGTTCAATTTGTGTCCGATAGATGCCTACCTCGGGTACAAATAAATAATACTCGTTCTTAAAATCTTAAGTGTGCAATGTACATATATTATATTTATCTAATGGTTATGTTGTGCTTTCCGCGTGACCAACAACTTTAGTTAGGCACCTGTATTTTTATCCAAACGAGAAAGACTAAAACAACTGTCAGACGAGAGTAGGTACTCATCTACAGTAAAAAACACATATACATATGCCTCATAAAAAAATCATCACGTTAGTATAAGTTACAATAATATTTTTACCTGTAACCATGTTTGCGGTGTGCGTGGGAAAGTGGAACTGCGATTCGAAGTATTTGGGCAAGAACGTGTAGATTCCAGCCAGCGGCAACAGGTGGAACACGCTACTCGCGGTCCTGTACATGAGCATGTCGTTCTTCAGAAGCCTCTTGACGGCAGTAGGAAAATCTTTGAGCTTAGGCGCCTTGGGCACGGCTGACCGGCCGTTGTAAGGAGGCGGTGGCGGCGAAGACAGAGACGGTTCGGCACATCCGTTGACGGCCCTCTGAGGAGGGTGCTGCTTTTTCAGGGTGGCGTTGCTGGCCGACGACGGACCTGGCAACCGCTTGGGGAACGCGAACATAGGCACGGAGGCCAACAGTAGCGTGGCCGAAATGCCGACCAGCCCCAGCCACCAGGCACCCACCCAACGGGGGTTGTTGGTGTCCATGTTGGGCTCGTTGCTGAGGTCCGCGTACAGACTGGTGCACAAAGCGCCCAACAGGAACCCAAACGACGGTCCTAGTATACGGACCCCAATTGTGATTGAGAAGTACAGTGGCGACTCACGACTGGCGACGTTGTCGTCGATGAAAGGTATGCCTAGAGTGTAGACGGCCGTCTGCCCGATGCCCACACCCAGCAGGCTAGTGAAAAATATGGCTAGCACGATTTGCGTGTTCCTGGACTGTTCCAGTTGTTCGGTCAGTTCGTTCTGTTCGCACATGTCGTGTTGCTGCACTGGTGGCCGAGCACTACCACTGTCACCAATGTTGAGGTCGGGAGCCACGCACACGTTGGACGGGTAATAGTCGGTAGACGAGTTTCCGTCCGACCCGGCCACATCGCGTCCCATCATCGATGCCGACGACGAATACTGGTGGTGGCCAAACAGGAAGTGTGGTGACGAGCACGTGAACGCAGCCACGCCGAACAGCACCATGCTGGACGCTATCCACCTGGGTCGATGTCCCTGGCCGCCGTAATACGTGAGCAACAGGGAAGATCCGATCTGTCCGATTTCGGTGGCGCTCAGCACCAGTCCCATTGTCTTGCTCTGCAGCTGGAATAGCTTCTCCAGCGTGGTGATCACGCTAACAAAGTACGTAGAGAACATGCCCTGCAGCACCCAGCTGAAGCAGAACGTGGCCAGGAACACTTGCTTGGACGCGAACACCTGCATCCATTTGGACCTGCACGGACCGATGCCGCACTGCTCGTCGCGATCGTCGTCATCGTCATCGGTTGCTACCGTGACGCCGCCGATCACGGTGGTGGCCAGCATGGCGTCTGTCGCCTCCTTGTCGTCGGCCGCCGCCTCGGTTGGACCCTTGAATGCGGCCATTGCGGTAGCTTCTGAGCGCACGCGTCACTTTAAATTCTAAGTGGCTAAAATACTACGTTGTTTATGTTGGCTCACTGTGCACTGCGTCGTTCGGTCGTCTCTGTGGAAAACAAGAGAAAAATATAAATCAGCGAGTTGTAGATAATCGATCATAATATCGCAAAAATTGAAAAACAGTTGAAATTATATTATTGTCGCCGTTGTCGTGACGCAGACACAATAATAGTGCATAGCTAAGTGTCCGGGAAAACTCGGAAAGTCCGAAAAAACGCGGCGAGTCCTGAAAAACGCGATTTTCACGCGCTCAGAAGATATTCTCCTGCAGACGCGTCTGTACCGGACTCGCGCGTGCTGCGTAGTCCACGCTCGTTGGCGCACCGGAGCGCGGACGAACATACGGACGGACAAATAAAGACGAACGACTCTCCCTTTCGGACGTCGTAGGTAGGTTTATTGTGCGCAACGTATTATTATTATTACGCCCCAAGGTTTGCCGCATTCTCACGCGCACGCGCGCTCGCCGATATTGTGATGATGGCCTGTGCGGGGCAAGGTCGATGGCAATTAAACGTCACGGCGGACGCGGCCAAAAGTGAACGCGCTCGCGCGGCCGAAAGCGACACGACGATGATGCGCGGCTACAATATAATATTATAATATTATAATATTATCTCCCGAGAAATTATATTTTTACTATTACTATTATTACTATTACTTCTATTACTATTATACTATTATTACTATTACTATTATTACTATTATTGTGTTTGTTAAGCTTGCGCGAGCTCGTGTAACACACACGCACAAACATATTATACGATCAGTGTGTGTGTGACGCGCGATCGACCTTGGCGTGCGCGCAGACAAAAAAGGGTGACGGACTGGGCGCGCGCGCGCGCTCCCGAGATAGCAACAAGTTGAGATTTATTCGCAAACGACCGCCGCCGTGAAGCGTCCGTATTTACAAGAGTATAATGACATTAGTAGTGTAATAATATTATGTCTTATGAATTATTATGACATAATAATATTGTATATTGTATAGTATTTAATAATGTAATGTATTGGATGGCCAATAAATTATTATAGTTTTTAAAAAAAATGCTACTTTGGACCCAATTTAGATTATGACAGTTTTAGACGCCGTATTATCGTATCGACGTATCAACAGTTGGCCTATCTGGTGCTAGTCATGACGTGTCGTAGGTGAGAACCCGATCGGTTAGTTGGTAAAATTAAAATAATATGTTTTGGGTATTTACCAGAGTGATATTTTATGTAAGAGGTACCCGTAAATACATAGTTATATATTTTTTTATATTATTCTCGTCGTTCTTGTTGATATTAAATATTTTGTCATGCTACAAAAATATTAAATTGTTGATACTTGAAACAAAAAATGAAAACTTATAAAGGTACCTATACTGTATTTTTTATAATAATTTACCTGTGTCTTCGTCAATTAATATATCTATTACATGTGTATCATTTACCTACTTGGCTACTATTACTGTAATACATTAAGACTCAAAGTATTTAGGATTTATTGTTATCATTTTAACTTCTTTCGTGAATTTGTGATATCGAACAATAATTAAAATACTATAGAAAATAGGAATTCAAAAAACCTCATAATTAATTGGATATAGTAATATAGATCTTATATTATTTTATTAACTATAATAATATTGTATCACATACATAATATGTATAAGTCCTTATAATTAAAATTAAAAAATATATCAAATTTACCCATCACTATAATAATAGGTGAGATACTCTAACCTGAATGCGCTGGTTTTGTTGTACTATAATAATATTATATAGGTAGTAGCCACTGTCGAGACAAATGTGTTTTTTAATCGTATTATTCTTTTAGTAAAAGAATGAGAAGAAAAAAGATTTTGATTATCGTTTTTTACCACACTCGTGCCGACCTTCTGCCGCCGCGGTGTATAATATCACTATGATATACGCGCTCGCGAGCGTTATTCTTTTGTGTTCGTCAAATGCTCTGACAAACTTCACTCATCGACATTATATAATAATATATTATAATATTACCTATATTATATATTAATATAATGCATAGCTGCAACAATATGACCGTGGTTCATTATTATTAAAATATATATAGCAGCTATATATAATATAATATTATGTACAATATGTTACGTGCACCTATCACCTATGTAGGTATTTCCCAGGTGAAGTCTGCGTACGCGTTTGTCAAAACTCACCTACTACACACGATCGATCGGCCAAAATTTGATACATAATTTTCTCATCGTTTCCGCGTATATAGTTCGTTCGGATGCGATTGCACGAGAGTTTTAAATAGTTTAAGGGCCAGAGGGAAAATTACGTGTCCAATCGTCTAACACTCAAATATTATACGGATTTCGTTTGTATCTTTAAATACCACTTGAAAATTGATAGACACAGGATATCGAAACAAACTATTTGCTTGTACATGAAATAAAATTCAAACCATCGGTGGGTAACGACATTCCACTGCTCGGGCCAACTTGTATATTATTATTTTGGAAATCTTGGTGTTTCATAAAATACCGACACACCGCTGTGTCTCGAGTACCTACGCCGCGAACCTAAATAAATTATACAGTGACAAATCAAAAACACTTGTGCATTATATTTACATTACGAAGTTACACAAAAGGTAAGCATATGTGTTGCTGACTTATAAGTTGTGAACCGATTATTGTATATAATATGTACAATTATTGTATCATATTATTATAGTGATATTCTAAAAAATTTTCACATACAAAGCAATTATAATATCCATTTTCCAAATCCACCCATGATTATAGCTTTTGGGTGCGTTATGTTAATAATATGAATTCTAATTAATAATTAATAAGTGTCATTGGGCGTAAGAAACTCTATTTTTTTCAAGGCATCTGTTCTTAATTGTATAGGTGCGACTTTATGTGCATACTACCTATACCTACCAGTTAGGGGTGCGCAGACTTTGGTCGTAGGGGATGCAGCTAATACAATGTGTTCCCTGGAAATATAAATACTATTACTCTACCATTGACCTAAAAATAATTAACTATTATTATCATTAATGCTCTGCGCATCAGAAAATTTTAAGTTGTACAACATTTTTTTTTTTTTGTGTTTAAAATGAAAAACATATTTACTATAAAGACGTGGTTATTGAATTATTGAAAAGGACATAACTTTGGGATTCTTGTTACATAATTCAGCCATAAATATCTATCGTACCTACATACTTTCTTGTTCTCCTAAAAAGTGTTGTTTTGGAACTTTGGTCGTATGTAATTTAAAAAGTGTCTTTCAAATCGTTTGGATACCCCACGAGCACGTCTGCTATACAACCTTGACCTGCCGCCCGGCGAGTAATCCACTGAAAACGGCAGGCACGTGTCGGTGGACCGTCGGTGAGAAATATTCGTTTTGATACTGCACAACAGTCTGTCGTCGTCACCAAGACACTATAGAAAAAACACCTGTTACAGTGAATCAAAAATGGTGTAAATGGACATTTTCCTCCCAGACATTCCCCCGACGGTCTAGTAGGACATTTCCCCTCATTTTTTTGTAAAGTTTATTATTGATTAATAATATTGAAATTTGAATTTAATAATGCAATATTATTTATTATTTAATATAAAATTATTTTTGCTTATAAAATATATAAACATTTTTTTATTTTCAAAAATATACAAGATTATAAATGTAAAATGTATATTATTATGTTTGATTACTTAAAACAATAACAATTTTTAAAAAATAAGAATTAAATATAATATAATTAATAATTAATAAAAATGGCTAAAAATTCCGACGTAAAAATGATACATTTTGTAAAAAACATTTGATTTGTTAAAATTGTACCACTTTGGATATTTAACAATTAAATAATTGTTTTTGAATTTGATTCAAGGAGTTCAGTTGATCAAAAATATACATCTATAATCAATAATTTACTATATTTATGAAAATATTTGAAAATAATTAGACAATAGGCAAAATAATAATTTCATATTAAATAATAAAATAATATTATTAAATAGTAAACATTAAAAAAAAAATGGGGAGGAAATATCCGCCTCAAAAATATATCGGGGGGGGGGGGGGTCCGAGATTCCAAAAATGGATAACACAGTATCACTCGTTCGCAAACGCTAAAATACAACAGGGACGGAAACTGTATGATTAAGAATCGGTTGATAGAAACGGAACGGAAAATACAGCAGCGAAAACTGCTTGATAAGATCAAATGGAAAAGCGTGGTTGCTTGCTGGCCGTGAGTATCTTAAACAATGTGGTCAGCTGTCTCTTCAGTCGTGGTTTACCGGTTAAAATATCGTAGGGATTTAGTACCTCATCGGATTTCGTCACTAAAGACGGTATTCCACAGACACGGTGTGCATATACACCATGCCCAGCTTCTTAGCCATATGACCACTATAACCATTCGATAATTACAAGATGAAATGAAGGAAATGGTCAAATGTATTTGGTATAGCTTGCAGTAACCTTATTGTTAGCATTTAAACCCCATTATAAAACCTTGCAGAGAGATGCAGATTATAAAAATACTCATTCAATCATATCGTTGTATACGTCTTGGTGTATGGTAGAATACTTTTTAAAATATTTTGGTAACAACTTTCAGAATACGATCGTTTTAAAATTCCATAATGAACCCACACGGTCCTCCGTAGTCCGGAAACCGTGGTAACCTCCAATATGACCATTATCTATGATCTATATTATATAGCTGTACCTATATGGTATATTGGTATGTTCACGGTGTGCGAGTGACCACGTCATATTTTCCATTGGTCATTCATTTTTTTTCACATCATCGTCTTCCGTAAATCACTTATCATATGATATTCAGTGTGACGAAATTTGTTGAAACTGGTGTAGAATGAACCTCCATATAAATATTATTACTTCCAATGTGCAGATGTTTCCTGTTGATTACGAGTTGAATGGCT